CCCCCCCCCCCTTTTTTTTTTTTTTTTTTTTTTTTTTTTTGGTTAAATTCCCCCCCCCCCCCCCCCTTCCCCCCCTTCCCCCTCCTCTTTTTTTTTTATATCTCTGCCGCTTCTGCTGCTGCCGCCAGTGCTGCCGCCGCCGCCTCTGTGTCCCGGAGATGTCCTTCCCCCAGCTGGGCTACCCGCAGTATCTCAGCGCCAGCCAGGCCGTGTACGGGAGCGACCGGCCCGGGGTGCTGGCCGCCGCCGCCGCAGCCGCCGCCGCCGCCGCTGCCGCCTCGGGCCGGCCCGCGGGCGCCGAGCTGGGCAGCGGCTCGGCCGCTGTCACCTCGGTGCTGGGCATGTACGCCAGCCCCTACAGCGCCCCCAACTACAGCGCCTTCCTGCCCTACACCGCCGACCTCGGCCTCTTCTCCCAAATGGTGAGTGAGCACCGCGCTGCCCCCCGCGCTTGCCCGGGCCCGCCGAGAGCAGCCGCGCCCTACGGGGGAGCCGGGGGAGCCGGGGGAGCCGGGGGAGGGCGGAGGCTGCGGAGCCCAGCGCGGGGGGCGGCGGGGCGGCTGCGGCGGCGGCTCACGCCCGGCGAGGGGTCCGCCGTGGAGAGGGAAGCGCGGCTGTCGACGGGTCTGCGGGGTAGAGAGGGGCTGGCGATCGCGGGCTCCGTCTGCAAGCGAAGCCCCCCATCCTCGTCGTAGCTCCAGCCGGGCAAAACTCCTCCGAGTTTTTCTTGGCAGTGGCAGAGCTCCTGCCTCCGTATTGTCGGCTTTCCCTAGCAACTCGGCTATTTTTTGTTTTCTTTTTTTTCTTTGTTATTGGTGGTGTTGTTGACGGGTGATATTGTCGGTCCTGCTGTTTCACTGGGCTTTCCAGCGCGCTCCTCTTTCCTCTTGGTACTTTTCTTTGCCGCTGAGCAATAAACAGGTTCCGTCCGAAAGGCCAAAGTGTCGGTACCTGGGGCGTCCTTTCATTTCAAGGCATTTTCCTTAAGCCTTGAAAATGTCCCGTTCTGTTCCTTGAACTTTTCATACTCTGATTATGGCGGGTATCACAGATGGGATTTGCATGAAGCGAAAGAGGGCATCCACATCCCATTACAGGCATCGAGGCAGAAACGCATATCGGCGTTAATTCTGAGAGAAATTGTCACCACCCAGACTGTCCTGCAGATTAATTTCACGTTTTCTTAAGAATGTAACAGTTAGAAAGTGAAACATATTTTTTCTTTTTTAAACTAACTGTTTTTATATCTGGTGTAGTTTCAAAAACGAAACGTTTTCGTTGCTAGCATTACCAAAATTCTCGGCGGTGCTACGCATAGGTTCCATTTCATTTTTCAAATATTCCTCTTTTCTCTCCCCCCTGACACATAAAAGTGTGAATATTTATAACCGAATGCATGCAATGCGTAACTTTTTAGGGCTTTTAATACATATGATGTATACAAATAGGAAAATACACTGTTGAACAAGGGAGAGCATCTGAAAACAGATCATTTTTGTACTGCGAACATTTCGTATAAAGTCACTTTTAACAGTGTGCATTTCCTACTTTTTTTTTTTTTTTAACCTTGATTTTGGAAATGCAGTAAAAGTTGAGACAGAAGCAATGAGTGATTTACAAGTGGCTTCTTCAAAAGAATTCCCAACAGAGTTTACACAAAAATATCATTTCAGCAACAATAACAAAAGACAGCAGAATAAAGGAAGTGCAGAAAGCCTACTCTGTAACACATTACAAAAATTACATCGGGCTACTCTTTGTGTATAAGCGGTGTCCATGAAATTAAAATACATGATCCTTCTTAACTGTTTGACAAAGTTAAATTAGTTTCTTTGCAAACATTTTGAAGAGGTCCATTTCTAAGGCTGACATAAATTATGACATAGTAATATGAAGAACACATTTCTGGACTAGGCAAAAAAAAAAAAAAAGAAAAAGAAAAAAAGAAAAAAAAAAAAGGCGAGATCATAATAGAAGAAATAAAGATAGAAAACTGCTTGAAATGTTAGCTATTTTGGAACAGTTCCCATTCCTACTTTCCTACGTTCCTGTATTTTATTACAGTGATTAACCACGGCGGTGATATTTTGAAATAAATTCTAAATACCTGAACATTTGTGAATCAAGAACTAAAATATTAGGTTAATATCTGAACAATTTGCGGTAATAATGGGGCCTAATGAGGTTGCTAGAAAGATAAAATGTTATTTACCAAAACACCTGATGGGATAATTTGACTTGCTGTGTTTTACTACTGATGATAAAAAGAATATTGATTGCAAATAAATCACCGTCTCTAAACGCTTGTAAACAACTTGTGTTTACTCTGGCCAGATCAAAGTAAAACTTATGAGATAAAGTGTCTACGTAACCATATTCTACAATGCGTGGATCAGTTTTCATTTCAGAGTTTAAAGCCTCTTATAACAGTTAGAAGTTAACGTTTTACTCCAGAACCTTGGTGTATGATTTGGGGAGCGGGGATGATGGTGTTGGCATGTGTGTGGAAAATCTTTCACATCGTAAGTCTCTTCATACTGAAGTTGTGCATTCATCTCCCCAGTCTCGTTTCACTAGGTGCAAAAGTAAAGAACGCTCTGCATGCATTTCTAACACCCTCCTGGATACTTTGCAGAGAAATGCGGCACTGTGCACGGGCATCAGTTTGTAACTGCGATGTAGTACCTGTTCTATGTGCCTGATAATTTCAAGGGCACAGTAAATTATCTCGCCGAGGCGAAGGCGAAGTTGCTGCGTTTCCGTCGTTTGGTTTGGTTTGGTTTGTAGAGAAAATATTGATAACGTCTGTCAAGTGGGTGCGATCTCTCTTTCCTTTCCCCGTAAGAAGGGGGAATCATTTGGGAATGCCTCTCTGCAAGAGAGCCTGGAAATGTGAAGAGCCTGGAGCGGGCAGGGCCGAATTTGGCTGTGAAGACCCTTTGCACCGCTGAAAGGCGTGTTCCGGCTCCCGGAGTAGCCTATTCAGGTCTGTTAGAGACGCTAACGAGATAATTGATGTGCTTTTTCCTCTCCGCTTGTCTGAATGTGTTGCAGGGCTCCCAGTACGAGCTGAAAGATAATCCGGGTGTCCACCCTGCTACCTTTGCTGCCCACACTGCCCCCGGCTATTATCCCTACGGACAGTTCCAATACGGGGACCCGGGGCGGCCCAAAAATGCCACCCGGGAGAGTACCAGCACCCTCAAGGCCTGGCTCAACGAGCACCGCAAGAACCCCTACCCCACCAAGGGCGAGAAGATCATGCTGGCCATCATCACCAAGATGACCCTCACCCAGGTCTCCACCTGGTTCGCCAATGCCCGCCGGCGGCTCAAGAAGGAGAACAAGGTGACCTGGGGCTCCAGGAGTAAGGACCAAGAAGATGCTAACCTCTTTGGAAGCGACAATGAGGGGGACCCCGAGAAGAATGAAGATGATGAGGAAATTGACCTGGAGAGCATAGATATAGATAAAATCGATGAGAATGATGGGGAGCAGAGCAACGAGGAAGAGGAGGAGAAGCCCGAGCTCCTGAGACAAAGCAGTGAAGAGGAGCACCTAGAAAAGGAGAAGGATTTGGCACTGTCAGGGTCTGAAGGGCTGAAACCCAAAGATGCGCTGGCCATGGTGAAGGAGGCCTCTGACAATAGCACGAGAATCATCAGTCCTGGGGGACCAAACAATTTACAGATGCCATCTCACAGCAAACCCAAGATTTGGTCTTTGGCAGAGACGGCAACCAGTCCTGATGGTGCCCTGAAATCTTCTCCTCCTCCTCCCCCTCCTCCCCAGGTTAACCACACTTCTTCTCAGATTCAGCACCCTGCTTTTCTCCCTAGCCATGGACTCTACACATGCCAGATTGGCAAATTTCACAACTGGACAAATGGGGCTTTCCTCACTCAGAGTTCCCTTCTAAATGTGAGGTCCTTTTTGGGAGTAAATCACCACCATGCTGCTCATCACAATCACCACATCCAGGCCCAGCAACAGTCTTCTGTTTTAACAGCAACCCTGGGAGCTCTAAGCAGCGAAAAACCTTCAGAGAGGACCAGTCCCAAACACATAGGTAATTAATGTATCAGGCTTCCACCTCCCCCTCCACCCCCCAACACATGCACATGAACTTCTCCTTGAGAAATGGTGTCACACTGGTGTAACTGATTGCTTTTAATGGAGCTGCAGTTTACCCTACCGTTGGTTTCCGCCCCCTACCCAGCGTGTTGGTCACATACATTAAGCACGTTTCATGTGGCCTATTACATCCTCACCCTATATGCCCATCGAGTAAGATGAAAATTCAGGAAGAGCGCAGTGAAACGTATAGGTTTGAGCTTTCCTTCCCTCTTTCATGACCCTCATCTCCCAATAATTTCAATGACAGTAAAAAATGTGTCAAGGAAAGCTTGCAGACTACTTAAATACTGAAAGTAGAGTAGTATAGTGCTGTACACACATACACATGTATCTGTACACGTCTGAACAGGAGGGTGAGAGGGAAGTGTGTTCTCTGCATAGTGTCCAGATTCTTACTGTTGTTATTCTAAAATGGTTCTCCTGTTTTTGTTTGGCTTTTTTTTTTCTTTTTTTTCCTTTTTGTTTTGTTTTTTTTCTTTTTTTTTTTTCTCCTTCTAGAAAGAGAAAATGTACCAAGAACTGACTCCCCACCCCAGCCGCTAAAATCGCCCTTCCAGCCTGTCCGTGACAAGTGAGTTTGTTTGTTTGTTTTCACTGTAGGAATGTTACTTATGTGGAGCAGAGCGTTTGAATAATAAAGACTAATTATAACACCTAATCATCACCACAATAATACATACAGACAATGAGAACAGCACAGGAGTTGCTCTGATCTTTCCAAACTTAGACTAAATTGCAATTGTACATAGCCAGACTGTAACTTTTCTAAAACTTAACCGATCTCAAAGATCTTGTGTTAATTACATCAGAGACAATGATTTTTGTGCGATTCTCTATTACTAAGATATTATAGCAATAGACAGGTAATTAAAAAAAATAACCTTTTTTCTGAAAGAATGTAAGAATGTTACGTCTTTTTTTTTTTTTTCTTCCTCCCTTCCTCCCCTGCAGCTCTTTGGCTCAGCAAGAGGGAACACCGAGAATTTTAACAGCTCTCCCTTCTGCTTGATTAAATGATTTGGTGAAAAAATGTTACAGAGACTGGTATTAAGGACAGAGAGAGTGAAAAAAAAGGAAACGGTATAAACAACTCCCATCAATCTCTTTTTGCAATAAGGTGGTGCAAATCCATAAAAGCATTACACAAATCTGTAGATGGATCCCCTTCCTCATTGTACCATTTCAGATCGTGTTATTCTAACCATTCTTGGATTATTTGTTTGGTAAATGTTTTCCATGTGTTTGTGGTTTTCTTTTTTCTGTATATAGAGTGATTTCAGATTGTAAATAACACGTCAGCAAAACTTGTCTAAATCATATATTTTTGTCTAATAAACTAAATGAAATTATGAGCTCTCTTCAGGTATGTATTCTGTTGCTACAGATCTTATACATATATTACAAATCTATTCAAACATTTATAATTTGCTCTCCAAAAAGTCAAGTCTTCTTCTTTAGGTAACTGAAACTTAAAGTAGCAAATCCAAAGTATTTTGCTGAAAACAAGCTGCGAGCTTCCTTTCTCATTCACGCAAATTTAGGAAGTTGAGTGAAGCTGGCTCGTGCCTTAGTAATATTAAAGTTATTTTTTTCAATTGTGGTGATTGAGACGTGTTCTGTAGTACCCACTTTCCGGACATAAATGGACCTGACTTCCACTTATGCTACAAAATAGTTTCTTAAAACTGAAAGGGACAAGTTTTCTCACAGTTCCCTAGTGTATAACTTTGCTGTCCAAACTGGTTGCTAAATTGCATCAAGCGCTTTAGTGCTTTGGTATATATTCCTACTCAAGATGAAAAAAAAAAAAAAATAAAAAAAATCATAGTTTAGGAAAAACAATTATTTGTAGCAATATGTGCCTTGAATAAACACAGAAGAAATGTAACAGTGAAAGATATTTTCCTGTGAGATTAAATACAATCTTAGTAGGAAGAAGAAATAAAAAAAAAAGTCAGCTCTTGCATATCTTAGAAATCTTAGAAGAAAGTTTTGCGACTCCGATCTGCTGGTTGAAAATAGACTGAGAGACAGGATCTATCGTTTTATAAAGACATTAATCTTCTAAAGAGGGCCCGTTAAAATGTGTAATATTTTTAGTGTTTATTTCTTTTTTTTTCTTTTAAATGAGAACACTAAATGAGCATTGAGGTGCTAATAAGATACCAGATGGTTGTTGATGGTGGAAAATGGAAAGAAGCAGCTGGGAAAGTCATTAAGAAATAATGCGGTGACGCCCTATCCAAACTAAGCCAACCTCAAACCAGGACTTGTCGGAAACAAGATGAGATTTTCAAATAAAATATTAATAAAATTCTTGTCAGAGATCAGAATATTGATCTTGATTTAGCTGCAAAATCATCTCAATCAAAGAGCAGCCTCGGTAAACTATGGCTTAGAGATCTGTTGGCAAAGCGGTGCAGGCTATGTGCTCCTACATTTTGCATTTTTCTGATGGAGCAGAGAAACTGGTCAGGCAAAATAGATTTTGTGTGGAATATCTGAAGGAGAGTCTCTGGAAAGAGGCTAATGTTGACATCCTGCAGTTCCTAGCATACCATAAAATAGTTTGTATTTTGGCTTTCAGTTGTTTTGGTGTATTTTTTTTTTCCTTTTCTCAAATCACAGATAGTCTCGCATTGGTAATTGTTGGTAACTGTTCCAACAAAAGAGAACATTGCGCTTTTTACCAAACTAGAGTAATTTAGCCTTCGGGGAAAGGGAAGACGTATTTAAAAATAAGAAAGAAAGAAAAAAAGTCTTCAAGCTTGTAGACCTTAACGGTGCATCAGGTCACTGCTGATGTAAACCTGATGCAATTGCTGTCTCTTTCATATCAATTCAGATGAAATCGCCTCAGTCCCGCCCCGGTTCCCAAATTCCTTTCGGGGGACGCGGCCGTCCTCAAGCAACCCGGCCGTCCGTGGTGCCGCTGCCGCCGGGGACCGAGCGCTTTGCTGTCACGGACCGGCTCCGCTCCTCCAAGGTGGAGACGGCACCTAAAAGGCGCGCCGGGATGCTCTGGGCGCGGCGGAGCGAGCGCGGCGCTGCCGAACCGTCCTGGGGGGAGCGGAGCGGGGATTCCCGTGTGGCACACACAGGAACCTCGGCAGGGACGCGGGCTGTGGGGAGCGGAGGAGAGCGAGCGTGTGCCGACTGCTCTGTCCGCCCGTCAGCGGGCACCCGGCTCCGAGCGGCTCCGAGCGGCTCCGAGCGGTTCCGAGCGGTTCCGAGCGC